ATTTAGATTTAGATTTAATATTTAGATTTAATATTTAGATTTAGATTTAGCATTTAGATTTAGATTTAATATTTAGATTTAGATTTAGCATTTAGATTTAACATTTAGATTTAATATTTAGAGTTAACATTTAACATTTAGGTGCCACATTTAATATTTAGATTTAACTATTTAATATATTTCTAAGTTAACAAATATTGCTATAAATGTAGTAAAAGGTGACGTTAAAAAATTCACAATACTTTTTTAAACATTGTTTGAAGCTAAATGTGGCAAAATGTTGATGTTATTTTCAGCGTGAGCCACTTTACAAACGGCACCCCATAGCTGGATTCATACTAGCATAGAAATCTACAACCCAGTTGCACTGATTGGGGTCTTACTGGGATCAAATCCAAGAACCCTTTGTTACCGACCAAAGGCTTACCCTGTGGTAGAATAGGAAACACAAGTACTGAGGTGCTGACGAAAGACTTATTGGGATAAGAACCTAAACCCAACTGATACCAATTTGAGTCTTAGATCAGAATCTAAATCAAAGAGGATCAGGGATAACAGTCCATAGAAGGCATTTCTTTGTCATAATAGTGGTCATGACATTAAAAAGATTTAAAGGCAAGAAAGACTCAGGGAGGAAATGTTTCCTTCTGACTCACCCTCTTTGACATGGGCAGGATTAAAACCATTAACCAGAGCTTTGGGTGCACCCCATTCAGTGCTGATCATCACATTGTGTCGAGGTTGATACCAGAAGTCATATCCAAAGGGTACTGCTTCACCTGGCTGCTCCCAGTTACCAATCACCTCGAACGTCTCACCATCCAGCAGGACGAAACCACCTGAAGGGAGACATCAGGTGTAACACTGATACTGTCCATTAGAGGCCGCTACAGCAGTAATCAACAGGGAGGGTTTGTCACTGGGAGAGGACAGAGCTGGTTAAACAAGAGGGTTTTACAAAATGGCTCAGTGTCCCTTTGACATTCCTTTACTTCTAGGTGTTATTAATACATATTATTTCTTAGAATTTATAATCCAGTCTGCTGATGTCTCACCTTTGCCGTTGCCAGATGGATCTCCTATACAGCTGATCATGATCTGACCGCTGCCCAGACAGTGTGTGGTGTGAGGGTTTGCCAGGCCGCACTTCCAGTACAGGTCGACAGGCTCCACCATCTGAAGACACAACAATATAACATAAACACAACTCGGTAAATCTGGTTTCAAATTTTCACCTCAACACATTAAGGATGAATTATTTATACAACACTTTTCAAAACAAAGGCTACAAAGTTCTTCACAATAAAAGCATCCATCCATCTTCTGTCGCTGATGCCACGTTCAGACTATATGCTATCAGCCTGATTATAGCGCGACCTGGCCATTCTACGGTGTCTGTTTGGATCATGAATGACGATGACAGTCATGTGCGGTAATCGATTGTTTTATAATGTGTAGTGTGTCATAGTAGACGACAACTGACGCCACGTCTGGGACGCCTCACACCTTAAAGTCTAGCATGTTTGTTTTATTTTTGTGTTTCACGACTCTTTCCGTCACAGCTGTCACTTTGACCAAGAGGGACACAGAGTGAGCTCCTGCTTTGGACAACTGTATGGTTCAGTATCTTGCCAAAGGATACTTTGACATGCAGACTGGAGGAGCTGGGGATTGAACTGCTGAACCTCTGATTGGTGGACGCCCCGCTCTACCTCTGAGTCACAGCCACCGCTGTTTTATTAAGATCAAAACCTAGAAGCCTGTTGTGCTGACTGGAGTCTTACTGGAATAGTGACCAAGAATTTGGTAATACTGGCTAAAGGATTACTAAATTCGAAACCCTGAGCTCTGTTAATGACTCAAGTTGTCCTTGGATAGGAACCTAGAACTTTGTGTTAGTGACTGAAGTCTTATTGGGATAGTGACCCAGAATTCTCTAACACTGACTAAAAGCTTACTAAAATCGAAACCTAGAGCTCTGTTACTGACTCAAGTTGTCCTTGGATAGGAACCTAGAACTTTGTGTTTGTGACTGGAGTCTTATTGGTATCAGAACCTAGGACTCTGAGGTACTAACTAAGGACTGGGTCAAGGTGGCAGCAAGGAAAGCAAGGTAGCCCAGATGCCCCTCTCCTCTTTCTGGAGGACCCTGAGGTATTCCCGGTCTGATAGGGAATATAATTCCTCCAGTTTGTTGTGGGTCCGACCCTGGATTTCCTCTGATTTGGGCCTGTCCAGCATATGTCCACAAGGAGGCGTCCAGGAGGATGGACATCAGAGCCCCTTACCCTGTTCCTAAGGCTGAGCCCAGACACTTTGCCAAAGAACTCAGAGTACTCAGAGACCAGGACCACAGCTGAGGACTGGAACAGAGATCGACCAGGGAATCCACAGCTTTACCTTCAGGATTAAATCCCTTTGTGTGTCAACTGCACTGAACAACATCCAAATTACTGCTGGCACAGATTGACCTGTTGATCCCACACTCCATTTTACCTTCACATATGAGTGCAACTCAGAGAAACTTTAACTACATCACTTAAGGCAGGAACACACTCCAACCCGAAGGGAGTAATCTATCAATTTTGTTACTCCAGCACAATGACCTCAAACTGGGAGGTGCTGACTCACATCCTGCTGCTTCACACTCAGCTGCAAACTGTCCCAGTTTGCACCAGCAGCCCTCCAGTATCACCTTTTAGTGGTATATTAAAGTCTCTGAGGGGAACTGTTTAATGATTACACCATGACTCAGCAGACTGACAGACGTATTTGCATTCTGATTATTTTATCAGGTGGACTAAAGCCAGCAGAGCAACATTTTTTTTATTTTCCCACATCATCAGCCCAGTCCAATGACTTCCAAATATTTTAAGTATGTTAAAGAACAGCTGTGAGAGCGTTTATCATCCAGTCTGAACTCAGGATGAACCTTCCTCCTCTTCCTCCTTCTCAGAACAACAGTCTCTGCTGTTCTTTCACTTCTTTAGTTTAGCTTGAGCGTCTCCGCTTTCTCTGACAGAGGGTCTGTTATTACAGTTATTTCTCTGAATTTAAAGAAAACAGCTGCTGTTTTCATAAGTCAGGGTCGAACTGAATTAACCCACTAAGAGGCCCCATTGAACCTCCCATTCTCCCAACTTTCTATGTAACCAGGCCCCCTGTATGGGAGCCTCCTCAAGCTCCTTAGCATTTCAGTGTGCTGTTCGTACTTTATGGATCTGCGGTGCTCTGGGATTCGTCCCGACGTCAACTACGTAGACTCTGGAGGAGATGAGTGATGGGAGAATCAGACGGTTTCTTTTCTTGGAGGCGTCGCCGAAGCAGCTGCTGCAAGCATTCCAGCCAGAGTGATGCAGCTCGTCACGAAGGTTCGGCATTGGCAGACGGTGGATGACCTGCAGGGGCAGAGGTCAAAGTCAAGTCAAGTCAAGTCAGATTTATTTATAGAGCACATTTAAAAACAACAATTGTTGACGAAAGTGCTTCACAAAGAAATAAAAAGGAATGCTCAGATAAAAACAGTTATACATAGGAAAATGTAAGTGAAATTAATAAGAGCATGCAATATTTTGACGAAATCATAACACAAAAATAGGATGCACACACAACAAAATGAAAAATATTGAGCAGTGTTGTCAGGTGTCTCATCCTAATGATAATTTAAAGGCTAAAGAAAAGAGATGGGTCTAAAGACTGGATTTAAATGTATCAATAGAGGGGGAAGATCGGACTGTAAGTGGGAGACTGTTCCACAGTTTAGGACCAACAACTGAAAATGCTCCATCACCTTCAGTTATTAACTGGGTACATGGAATGGAGAGCAGTGATTGGTAAAAGCTGGTGCCAATGAAAGAGTTGATTTGTGTATCAAATTTTAAACCAGAGTCAAAGAATGCAAGAGGACTTTTCACATTTTATTTTACATTAAATAACAGAGACCTGAGGGCATTGATTGTGGAAGCAGACTTGACAGCTGGGCCAAAGATTAAAGCCTCTGTCTTATCCTGGTTAAGTTGAAGAACGGTTTTCACTATCCAGGAGTTTACAGCCTTGATGCAGTTTAAGAGGACGTTTACACTGCACGGATCACAAGGTTTGAGTGGCAGATATAGCTGAGTGTCATCAATGTAAAAATGGTAAAAGATATTTCATTTGCTAAAAATAGACCCCAAGAGAAGCATATACAGTATAAGAAAAATAAAATGGGGCCTGATATATTTCCTTATGGTACGCCACAGGAGATGGTCGCAGACAAAGAGGACACATTGTCCAGTAAAACAGTAACTGCTGGTTAAAGTTAAGAGTTTAAAATGCCCTGTGGATCTCATTTATTTATGCATTTTTACTCATAAGATAGTTTAAGACTTTTAAGAACAAAAGTGATGCAAAGATCCTGAAGGTTAGAGACAGAAAAACAAAAACCTGGAGCAAGAAGGAGAAGAGGAAACGACAGCAAGACATCTGAGTGGAAAACTACTCCAGCAGGAGTAGAGAGCTGATGAGAGAACAAAGACAAGAAATTTACTGATGCTACAAATCAAAAAGCTTCACTGACAGATTTAACGAAGACTTTGAGCAGGAGAAGAAAGTTGACCAGACGGACCAAGCAGGGGATTGGATGACTCCTTTTACCTGGCAGAAGGTGGGGGATTTTGGGTCGACGTCGACGGTGGCAAGGTAGTCGGGTTTTAGGGTGTTGGTGTTGCGGTAGATGCAGGGCAGGTAGACGATCTCCTCCCGGGGACCTACAACAAGAAAAACAATTACAGCTCATGCTGTTTCGGGGAGAGGTGAGCAGTAGTCAGTCGGTCAGACAGACAGACAGACAGACAGACAGACTCACCCTTCATGGCGTCCAACGGGCTGCGGTATCCCGGTCCACATCCTGAGCACTTGGCTGAGAAAACAAAACATGTGAAAGGTCATTAAACCTCTTCAACACTGTTACAATCACAGGGGACGTCACTGAAAACTGAACTGTTTCCAGGCAGCTGGATGTTTCTCTGCTGGATGAATTTTCTTCCTCTAAATAATAAAAACAAACACAGTAAATCTAAATATCATATAAACTGGGTCAGCAGCCCTTCAGCCCTCTGTCCACAGTTCACCTCTTATGTCTCAGACTGATGCATTCTGGGAAACAGTTCTTCAGTGCTCCACAGGACTGTTTTATATACAGGAGTATTTGGCTGCGTTTCATTAGTCACTCCACAGCAACAACACAACATGAAGCATGAAGCTTTTTAATAATCAAAACAAATTAGTTTGCAGTCATGCTAACAGCTCGGTACTTAAACACAGTGGTGCTTTGAGCTAGATGCTAAATTCAGCATGCTACAATGCTCACAATGACATGCTAACATGGCGGCAACCTAAGAACTCACTGGTGGTCAGTGGGTTCTTAGGTTGTGACGGTGTAGTGGTGAAAGAGGCCGTCAAGCTAAAGAAGGAGAGTACCGGTCCTTTTCTGACCAAAGTGAGAGCTGTGTCTGCGTACTCAGCACAAAGTCAAAACACATTATCAGTGGGTGTTGGCCTCTGCCAGGGTTGTCTCATGCCATTCTGTTTGTGATATTCATGGCAGAGTCCTGCACCAGGTGGGGTACCAGTGGGTAACCCAGAGAAAGCTGTGTGACGGGTAAAATATGTATATATAGATATATATATATATAAATTCATGGGCACGGGCATGGGTAAAAATGAACTACACGAGGGGGCAGCAGGTGAGAACAAAAAAAAAAAAACAAGTAATTTTTCGTATAAAACAAATGGAAAAGTCAAAACTTTGACTCTGTCGTCACATTTGTCACCAACGTGGAGGACTCGAGGTGGCAGCCTACATCGAGTTCAAGACACGCAGGGAGGATCCTTCGGAGGTTTTTATGGTAGTGGAAGGAACATACTAAAATGTCTCCTAATCTGGCAGCGATTGAATGTTTTCAACATCCCGCCATCGAGTGCAGCCGGGGAAAGAGACAGCTGGATTTGTAATTCAAGAACAGAGAACCAAGTTTAACGTGAGTGACTGTAGCAAGTGTTGTATAATCACGGGTGTAGGTGTAGGTCGGGTCGTGGGACTTTCATTAACAGGTGCAGGTGGGTGTGGCTTTGACTTATACATAATTACGGGTAACTGGTCAGGTCTGGTACTGAACTCTACAGGTATAGGTGGGTGTGGGTTTTAAAAATTGGACCCGTGAAGGACTCTGAGTCATGGACAGGATCTCGAGGCCCAGCTGTGGGGAGGAAGTATTCCAGTTCAGGGACCTCAGAGTTGCATCTCTGCTCTTTGCAGATGATGTGGTTCTGTTGGCTTCATCACACCGTGACCTCCAGCATGCACTGGGACGGTTTGCAGCCGAGTGTGAAGCAGTCAGGCTGAGAGTCAACACCTCCAAGTCTGAGGCCATGGTTCTCTGCTGGAAAACAGTGGATTGCTCTCTCTGGGTTGGGGGAGAGTTACTGCCCCAGGCGAAGGAGTTCAGGTATCTCCTAGTCTTGTTCACAAGAGTGAGGGTAAAATAGAGTGCAAGATGGGCAGGCGGTTTGGTGCTGGGTCAGCAGTGTTTCCAGCATTGTGGTTCAGAGGGAGCTGAGCTGGAGGGGGTGCTCCTGATTTATCAGTGCAACCCTCACCTCTGGTCATCTGCTTTGAACAGTGATCAAAAGAGTGAGATCGCTGATACAAGAGGCCCAAATGAGTTTCCTCTGTAGGGTGGCTGGGCTCAGCCTTAGTGTGCTTCCTGGACACCTCCAGATAGAGGTTTTATGGGCACATCCAACAGGTAGGAGGCCCTGGGGTAGACCCAAAACACAAGATTAACTACAGGTCTTATCTGGGCTGTGAATGCCAGGAATTCCACAGGAGGAGGTGGAAAATGTTGCTGGGAAGAAGGACATCTGGACCACCTTGTTAAGCCGGCTGCCTCCGGGACCCGGTAAAGGTATATTTCTATCTACACACACATATATACACACACACACATAGAGACAGACCCTTTATGGTGTCCAGTGATCTGTGGTATCCCAGTCCACATCCTACAAAAATACAACAACATGCTAAAAGTCACAAAACCACCTCAACACTATCATTACTGCAGAAGATGTCACAGAGATCAGACCAGGGGGGCAAATATAAACAGTGCAGGCAGGGCAGTTGCACTGGGGCCCATGAGGTGAGGGGGCCCGTAGAGAGTGGGCCCTCCAACTATAGGTTCAGCAGAAAATGGGCTCCACCTTAGAAATATGTCTGTGTTAAAAGAAAGACTCACATTCAATTGAAAATGGTGCGATATGCTTTATATGCCTATGAGAAAGTAAAACTATCTCCATCATGGTTTTCTTTTCTTAATTTCTTGGTAATCTATAACGAGATATGTTGTAAAATATAAAAAATATGCTTCCTCTACATCAACTATAGATAAAGTATATATATATAAAAAAATCAATTAAACAAATAACTCCTTATTTTCTTTGGTATTTTTGTCCTATACATATATGTGGAGATGATTTTTGGGTGATATGTATGTTGGTGTTATCCAGTGTCAAGTCTCTACTTGATTATGGGATGATACGATTATATGGGGGCTAGTTTAGGTGCATAACAAGCAACTAGTGTGCCTTAGGGCCCGTCACAATACCATACACTGGGGCCCGTTGTGACTACCTTACGTCACAGCGGTCAGAATGATGCATTCTGGGATGCAAATTTGCTGAGCTCCTGTTTGTTTTATACACAGCGGGAGTGTTTTTATACCCAGCAGGTGAATTTTATACACAGCAGGAATAATTTCAATCATCCGTCATCCTGAGTTGGGAGGCTCGTAATTGGACACACCTGTAATTAAATTGTTTACACCCCATCATGAAAACAACTCTCACTGTGCAGCAACACAACATGAAGCAGGAAGGTTTTTAATAACCAAAAAAACAAACAAACAAAAAAAACAAGTCTACAGTCACGCTAGCAGCCTCGTAATTCAACACAGCGGTGTTTGGAGCTACATGCTAACAATGGCAATGTGTCGCAGGTGTAAGCTGACATCAGTAATAACCACCTCACCATGTCGGATAAATACTACAATACTAAAAGTATTAACACTTGATGAAGAAACCGTATTTAAAGTGGATCGATCACATCTGATTGATAGTAAGTCTGCTGACATCAGTCCTGTGAAGTACTATTTCCAGAAAGTTACAACATGTATCTGTAATATTCCACAATAAATTACATTATTATCACCTCACAGGCTCTTACTGTGATATTTAACCACGATTTATTGGGAAATTCATGTAGGTACATACAGTAATTTTACAGAAGCATACTGTTAAATCACAGAAATATCTGTGAAGTAACAGTGAAACACAGAAATTCTACAGGAGCATACTGCTAAATCACAGAAATAAGATGTGCATAAACTGTGAAGTCACAGTTCAATTCAATAATTTACAGGAACATACTGTTATATCACATTATTACACGGCTCTATTAAATGCTGTATTCTGACTGGTCAGTCGTGGCATTCAGAGGTCTGATATTACTGTGTAATGACCGTTGCTATGTAGCCCAGTGTTGCTAGGGACGCTGCTTTTCATTTTCTCTTGATTCCCTGTAGCTATTGTAGCGCAGATTCAGTCGTTGCCGGCAGTTTTTTTTTTCTCTCCTCCCTATTTAATTTATAAATCAATAAAAATCGTATAATTAATCAATATTCTGTCTCAAATTATTTATTTAACTGATAATTAGCCGTGTAATAAGCAGGATAATGTATAATGAGCCGGTGAATACTGGGAAAACAACTCCCGACAGGGGAACAGAGCCCCTCCGTTGCGCGTCGGGGTTCTATTCCCCTGTCGGGAGTTATTTTCCCAGTATTCACCGGCTCATTATACATTATCCCTTACGTAATGTAATGTGCTTAAACTGTGAGGTTACAGTTGAATACAGTAATTTTACAGAAGCATACTGCTAAATCACAGTAATATGTAGGCACAACTGCTGTGAGATCACAGTTAACAGCCGTCAGTTCACAGCAATTTACTGTCAAAGTAATGAACTAGTAGCATGTAATTTACTGTAAATGTATAGTGAAATATTTTACAGCGTAGTTCCCATCATCTCCACCTCACTCAGCTACACATATTAACCACTAATAATAATCCTGTGTGCAGTATGTGATGTACACACAGTACACACAAATACTACCATACTGGGTAACACTTTATTTGAGGGAGTGCAGGGCCGTGGGTAAGGACAGTGTGGGTGCATTGGGGCCTATGGGGTGGGGGAACTGTCGAAAGTTGAGAGAAGAACAGGCACTTGGAGTTGATTCAGATTTGCCACCTCAGAAATACAACTGTGATCAGAAAAGAACTCAAAGTAAATTGACAGTAGTGACATTTGTAATTTATGTCTTAAAAAGGCAAACTCATCTCCGTCATGGTTTTCTTTTTCTTTTTTGCAGCAATTTATCTTTTTTGAGATGTTATATTATTTTTTAACTTTAAGTGAATTGTTTTTTAGACAATGTGCAGGTTTACATTCATACTGCACGGAGCAAAATGCCTCATTTCAGCTGAAATCTAATCATAATTTACATTTTTATTAACTTTAAAGTGAATTGTTATCATTTCTGTCAGATAATCTGTAGGGTTCAATGTGCCCCACATTTCAGAGGCAATTTAATTATTTTAGATGTTATTTTAGTGATTAAGTTGAGTTGCGTCACGTTCACATTGATACCGCACGGCACAAAGTGTCTCGTACTTCAGCGGCATTTAAAATCTGACATGGTTGTTGAAGATTGTGATTAAAGGCTTCAAAGGGCTCTGAATGCACACAACATTTTTGGGACAATGTTTCAAATACTTAACAATAAATTGTGCTAAGTTTTGACT